CCAGACCTTGAACCTTCTCTTCCAACATGGAGACCAGCTTGCACTTTGTACAGACAAAGTCGCTTCTGTCCTGTGGAAGAGAGACTAACATGGCACATCCTGTGCAGGTCACAACAGCTGATCGCTCACCATCCATTTTATCTTCCCTCTAAGAGTTTCCTCAGCTGTTGCAACAACTACTCAGAGGAGCCTGCAAGTTGAAAGCCTCAGTGGGCTCTCCCCAGGGGAACTCCCAGTCAAACTCCCTCTGTTAGCCTCTCCGCTGTTCTCTGCTCAGCTGCAGCTGACTGCCATCCACCCCACCCTCTATCCTTGTCCCTCTTCAGGGACCCTTCTCATGAGCAACTCCTTGCCCAGGAGGTGCAATCCCTCCTGTGGATTGGGGCCATGGAGAAGGTTCCTCAAGACTTGATAGAAAGGGGTTTTACTCCCAATATTTCCTGATCCCAAAGGCCAAGGGGAGCTTTGGCCCATTTTGGACTTGTGGCACCTCAATAGATATCTCAAGAAACTGAGGTTCTGCATGGTCTCCCGGGCCTCCATCATTCCTTCCCTGGATCCAGGGTACTGGTACCCCTCCCTCAATTTAAAGGATGCCTACTTGCACATTTGTGTCTTCCGTGGCCACAGAAGATTTCTCAGGTTTATTGTAAACCAGTGCCACTACCAATTCACTGCTCTCCCATTCGGTCACCTTCCGAGCACTGGGCCTATTGATAAATGAGCAAAAGTCAATTCTTTGTTCCAGTTCAGAGAATAGTGTTTACTGGGGCAGTGCTCAACTCAACCTAAGCCAGAGCTTTCCTTCCGCAAACCAATTCCAGACTGTCGGATCTGATATCCAAAGTCATGTTCTCAGTGGGCGACACCCCTCACCTCCTAGGCAGAGGCGTGGCCAGGCAGCTCTGGTTCACGACCAATGGGAGCTGCGGAGCTGGTGTTCAGGGTGGAGGCAGCGTGCAGAGCTGCTTGGCCAAGCCTCCGCCTAGGAGCTGAGGGAGGGGGATGTTCCCACTTCCAGGGAGGCGCGGAGCCAGGTAGGGAGCCTGCCAGCCCCGCCAACCCTCTCCACCCCCAATCCCCACAGTACCAGCAGAAGTCCAGGGCCACTGACACCCCCCCCTCCCCCCGAGCATCCGTGGCACCCCTGGGCTGCCCCCGCCCCCCATTTAGTCAGGGGTATGTAGTACAAGTCATGGACAGGTTACAGGCAGAGCATTTTTGTTTACTGCCTGTGGCTTGTCCATGACTTTTTTTACTAAAAATATCCATGACTAAGGCTGTTTTAGTCATCCTGGATCACAAGCTAAATATGAGCCAACAGTGTAACACTGCTGCAAAAAAAAAAAAGCAAACCTCATTCTGGGATGTATTAGCGTGAGTTTTGTAAGCAAGACACGACAAGTAATTCTGCTCTACTACATGCTGATAAGGCCTCAGTTGGAGTATTGTGTCCAGTTCTGGGTGCCACATTTCAGGAAAGATGTGGACAAATTAGAGAGAGTCCAGAGAAGAGCAACAAAAATTATTAAATGTCAAGAAAACATGACCTGTGAGGGAAGATTGAAAAAAATGGGTTTGTTTAGTCTGGAGAAGAGAAGACTGAGAGAGGACATGATAACATACATAAAAGTACATAAGTACATAAAAGGTTGTTACAAGAAGGAGAGAGGAAAATTGTTCTCTTTAACGTCTGAGGATAGGAAAAGAAGCAATGGACTTATATTGCAGCAAGGATTGGACATTAGGAAAAACTTCCTATCAGGGTGGTTAAGCACTGGAATATAAGTGCCTAGGGAAGTTGGTGAATCTCCATCATTAGAGATTTTTAGGAGCAGGTTAGACAAACATCTGTCAGAGATAGTCTAGATGGTACTTATTCCTGCCAGGAGTGCAGGGGACTGGACTTGACCTCTCAAGGTTCTTTCCAGTCCTATGATTCTGTGATTCTATCTCTAAGAAACACAGTTACAGAAGGTTAGTAACCATTTTATTTTGTTTTGTTTTGATTTTTGTTGGGGGGATGGTTGCGGGAGAGGCGGTGCTTTGTCTCTCGCTTCATTGGTTTTAAAGCTAAATTAGTACTGGGGTGAGAAGTTTGAAATAAGTTCTTCTCTTAGAATAGAGAGTATAGCAGAAGTGCAAGCTTCCTTGATATGTTGTGGTGCCCCCACCAGATGTACATCAGCTTTGATCTGGGGGGCTTCCTCTGTGACTGAAGAGTAGTTCTTCCTCTGACAACTGGCATTGGTTTCTGCTGAGACTGGTGGCATGCATGGTGGGTATTTTGCATGTCCAGTATAAGCCAGGCTGAGATTAGTTCTAACATGTCAGCCGTTAAAACAGTTGTCAAGTTACATCAACTTTGTCCCTGGGGACCACGTTTTTAAAGGTATTTAGGCATAGCTGCACTCAGCGTTGCAATGCTGAAGTCTCTTCTTTTTTTTTTTAAAGGGATTTAAGCATTTAGGAGCTGAAATCCTATTGATAATGTCTAAATCCTGTTAGAAAATGATTTAGGCTTCTAAATCAGTTAGGCATTGTAACCCTGAGTGCAGCAACACCTAAATACCTTTACAAATCTGGGCCTAACATTGTAGGCTGACTTTGAGTTAGTAGAGAGAGGCTCTGTATCCAATTCCCGATTTATTTATTTATTTAACCCCCCCCCCCCCGTTCCCCTACAGCATTTTTTTCAGAATCTAGGAAATGACTTGTGCTAAGAGTCAGAATGGAGAACAGTGCACAGGACTTTAGATACTGTCACCTACCAGACCAGATAACTCCAGATGACTCTTATCACCGTGGTCCCTTGACACTTTTCAGTACTGTTATTTCCCAAACCTGAATCGTTTTCCTTATGTAGAGCTCTCCATCACCACTTGCTTGTAAGGGATGGATCCGTTTCCTATTAGCTGTCTACTGCCGTTGCCTTCACATAACCTGCTATGCCTTTCCGGATATAGATATGAATTGTACTGGTTGAAGAGTATAGATGTAGAGGAAACCTTTCTTCTCCTTTCTGGGTGCATGTTGTGACGTGGATGGCTGCAGAAGGTAGATAGCAACCATTGTGCTCCTTGTTGACTAGCTTATACTGTTTTGTTTCAGACTGATATTTACTCGGAAAGGTATCCTACGAGTGGAAGGATTCTTAAATCCCCAGCAGAGTGATCCTGATGCCATGAGCCTGTGGATTCCGTCGTCGTCCCCTGCAGAGGGTATTGACCTGGAGACCTCTAAATATATCCTGGCCAATGTTGGGGACCAGTTCTGCCAACTTGTTATGTCTGAGAAGGAGGCGATGATGATGGTGGAGCCACACCGTAAGCTGTTGGTTTTACTCCTTTTTGTAATGTCTGTACAGTACAGTGGAATGGGACTGAAGTAGGGCTATCAAGCAATTTTAAAAAAAATTAAATGCGATTAAACAATAAAAGAATACAATTTATTTAAATATTTTTGGATGTTTTCTACATTTTCAAATATATTGTATTCTGTTTTGTAATTGAAATCAATGTGTACAGTGCTCACTTCATATTTATTTTTGATTACAAGTATGTGCACTGTAAAAAAACAAATAGTATTTTTCAGTTCACCTAATATAAGTACTGTAGTGCAATCTCTTTATCATGAAAGTTGAACTTACAACTGTAGAATTATGTACAAAAAGCTGCATTCAAAAATAAAACAATGTAAAATTTTAGAGCCTGCAAGTCCACTCAGTCCTACTTCTTGTTCAGCCAGTCCCTCAGACAAACAAGTTTGTTTACATTTGCAGGAGATAATGACCGCTTCTTGTTTACAATGTTACCTGAAAGCGAGAACAGGCGTTCTCATGGCACTGTTGTAGCTGGCATCACAAGCTATTTACGTGCCAGATGTGCTAATGATTCATATGTCCCTTCATGCTTCAACCGCCATTCCAGGGGACATGCGTTCTGCTGTGACAGGTTCTGCTCGATAACAGTCCAAAGCAGTGAGGACCAATGCATGTTCATTTTCATTATCTGAGTCAGATGCCACCAGCAGAAGGTTCATTTTCTTTTTTGGTGGTTCAGGTTCTGTAATTTCCGCATTGGAGGATTGGTCTTTAAGACTTCTGAAAGTATGCTCCACACTTCATCCCTTTCAGATTTTGGAAGGCACTTCAGATTCTTAAACCTCGGGTCGAGTGCTGAGCTATCTTTAGAAATCTCACATTGGTACCTTGTTTGCCTTTTGTGAAATCTGCCGGGAAAGTGATCTTAAAACCAAACGTGCTGGGTCACCATCCGAGACTGCTCTAATATGAAATATATGGCAGAATACAGGTAAAACACCAGGAGGCATACAATTCTCCCCCAAGGAGTGCAATCACGAATTTAATTAATGCATTATTATTTTTTTTTAACAAGCGTGGAATCAGCTGGAAGCATGTCTTCTGGAATGGTGGCCGAAGCATGAAGGGCCATAAGATGTTTAGCATATCTGGCACGTAAATACCTTGCAATGCCGGCTACAAAAGTGCCATGCAAATGCCTGTTCTCACTTTCTGGTGACATTGCAAGTAAGAAAAAGGCAGCATTATCTCCTGTAAATGTAAACAAACTTGTTTGTCTTAGCGATTGGCTGAAAACAAGTAGGACTGAGTGGACTTGCAGGCTCTGAAGTTTTACATTGTTTTGTTTTTGGGTGCAATTATGTGTTTTTAAAAAAAAAACCAAACCAAAAAAAAACCCCACAACAAAAAACCCTACATTTTAAGTTGCACATTCACGACAGAGATTGCACTACAGTAATAGTATTTTTCAATTCCTCATACAATTTCTTCTGTTTATCATTTTTACAGTGCAAATTTGTAATAAATCTGTTATTTCAATTAAAACACAGAATACAATATACATGAAACTGTAGAAAATCATCAAATATTTAATTTCAATTGGTAATCTATTGTTTTAACAGTGCAATTAAAACTGATTAATCGCGATTAATTTTTTTAATCCTGATTAATTTTTTTGAGTTAATCACGTGAGTTATCTGCAATTAATTGACAGCCCTAGACTGAAGGAATAAATTTTGATCCTCGTTGTAACACTTCTACTTTCCTTCTTTCAAAGAGGGGGTTGTGTTTCTTCCTCTAGAGTGTGAGAGAAACTGAGACCATCTTCAGGGAGTTCCCTCTTCCGTCAGAGCAGTTTGTCGTGTGAAAGAACAAATACGTTGCCAGAAACTGTTAATTCTATATTAAATAAGGAAAGCAAAAATTATTTTCCTTCAGCAACTGCCTGACCCAAGACCCTGAGAAAATGGAAATGAATGTAATCTACTGTTCACATAGGCAGCTCTACTTTGGGATCGAGTAAGACTTTGGGCCACTGATCATGGATGCATATACTATTTATTGTGATTTCTTAATGGCTGAACTTCTTGAATTCACTGCTGACTGCCTGTACAACCAAAATTCACTCCTTTGCACCACCCTAACATAGTACAGCCCTCATCTCACCCCATCTTGCCTCCTCTAATGCCCCAAGAAAAAGCTGAGCTGATTATGAGTCCAGATGATGAAGATGTCATCAATGTAGCGCAAGTAGAGTAGGGGCATTAGGGGACAAGAGCTGAGGAAGCGTTGTTCTAAGTCAGCCATAAAAATGAAGGATGATCCCTCTCTCTCACAGATCTTGGGAGACAGGCCAGTCCTCGCTTACAGACAGCCCCCCAACCTGAAGCAAATACTCACCAGCAACCACATACCACACAACAAAAACACTAACCCAGGAACCTATCATTGCAACAAAGCCCATTGCCAACTCCGTCACGTATCTATTCAAGGGACACCATCATAGGACCTAATCACATCAGCCACACCATCAGAGGCTCATTCACCTGCACATCTACCAATGTGATATATGCCATCATGTGCCAGCAATGCCCCTTTGCCATGTACATTGGCCAAACCGGACAGTCTCTCCGCAAAAGAATAAATGGACACAAATCAGACGCTAAGAATTATAACATTCAAAAACCAGTCAGAGAACACTTCAATCTCCCTGGTCACTCAATTACAGACCTAAAAGTTACAATACTCCAACAAAAAAAAGTCAAAAACAGACTCCAATGAGAAACTGCTGAATTAGAAGTAATTTGCAAACTGGACACCATTAAATTAGGCTTGAATAAAGACTGTGAGTGGATGAGTCATTACACAAAGTAAAACTACTTCCCCTTGCTAATTTTTTTCCTCTACTGTTACTCGCACGTTCTTGTCAACTGTTGGAAATGGGCCATCCTGATTATCACTACAAAAGTTTTTTTTCCTCCTGCTGATAACAGCCCACCTTAATTGATTAGTCTCGTTATAGCTGGTATGGCAACACCTGTTTTTTCATGTTGTGTGTGTGTGTGTGTGTACACACACACACAGAACATGAAAAAACAGGTGTTGCCATACCAGCTATAACGAG